TTGAAGGAGACACACACACACACACACAAACACCTTTAAAGGATGCGAAGGTAGATATTCCCTGAACCCAAAACAGTATACATACCTTCAAAAGTAAACAGGTAAATTTGTATGTTGTCTCTTAGCTAATGCAAGCTCAAACCTGTCTCATGTGGCAGTTGTCTGCCTTTCCAGCCCACAACTTTTATTCTCGACTTGTTTCGCCATTATGAGCTATTATAGCACAACTGAGATGTGGGTCTTACATCAAACATTCCATATACTTTGGTTCCGATTAACAAAGTGTTGTTGGCTCGCCTTTTGTAAGTACGTGTTTATATGTGATTGGGTGCGTATGTGAGTATGAATGTGTGTGTGTGTGTAATAGATGTCTGCAAGGATGGGTGTGGGGAATTGGGAGATTGTCGTTAAAAGAATGATGGTTAGCTACGGTACGAAAATCTTAGCTCGAAAAACTGTGGTACAAGAGCTCTTAAAATCAAGTTTTTGTGATATTTTTTAAAATTCAACCACGGTTCCTGAAGGAAACGGACAAATTTATAGGCCTACATGCCCTGTCTAAAAAAGATTGGTGTATTGCAACACAAGTAAAAATCGTAAACTCCTGTCATACACAGGCAGTTGAGAAAACAGCCACTGGAAACAGTTGAATGACTGATACAATATTCGCACCTGATTCATGTTCAGCACAAGGGAACACGTAACTATAAGAAACACCTAGCCAGTTGATGAAATATTCCTGTAAACTTCTGAGAGATCGAGATTATTGGGTCAAGTTGAAGGAATCTCGCATTGGATTATTGCCTTGTTATGTGTTCGCGTGTAGCATGAATTTGATAGTTGCATTTGGTTAAATCCGTTTAAAAATTTATTATCTGTAACTTACAAGCTGGAATTTAGCTAAGTACAGGCTAGTAAAGATTCGGAGCTATTCAATATGAATAGGCTAAGGGATAGAAGCCCCACAGTTATTATAAAGAACAAAGTTTACTTCCTCCCTCTCTCGGGATACCTGAGCACACATCCAAGTGGTTGTCTATTGTTGAGAAGAACATATTTAGCATGTTAATCGGAGGCGCTTGTCTCAGGGCATGTTAGGATTCCCCTAGGTAAAAGTCGTCCTGTGCACTCCGAGTTATCATGGCAAGAAGAAATTGATAAAGACAAATATTAGTTGCTTGTAACATCAAAGGTGATGGGATAATAAAATCTGAAGAAGGGTTATAACATGTTTTGCTAAAAGCTTGAGTGAAACCAATTATATTTTAACGGGTGTAAGGGGATAAGGCTGCAATTTCTTTGGGAGGGTTTGTTTGTTTTGTTTTTGATTGTTTCAAGTTTGTTGGTTTTGTTGTTTTTTGTGAGGGGAGGGGGGTGTCGACTTGGTGAACTTTGTTTTCTACGTAAACTCACTCATCACCGAGTGTTGGGACAGTGGCTTGACCAGAAATTACCCCACTCCCCCCCCCCCTTTTTTTATCAAACAGCGCCCATATTAAATACTACTCTGAGCAAAAATGTTGGCTAATGTTGAGTCCAGTTTTGATGACAGTTCACATACGTTTTATGACCATTCGGACAGACCATTTCTCGTCACATTCTTACCCATTTGTCAGAGTGTGAGGACAAGAGTTTAACGGATACTTCCAGAACCATGGACGCTGTGCGGACTTGGGTTGTCAGCAAAGGTAAGGTTTCAGAACTTGTAAAATTTTGACATTGGACTGTTTCGGTATATTCAACAACTTTTCTGAAGAAAGAAACGCAGAGAGAGGTGAGTTTGAAATCTAAAACTTTTACAAGTTTATGATTCATTTTAAGGCTCCTCTTAATGTTATATCGGAAATAGAAGCTAATGTACAGACTTTGTGCTGTGTCTTAAATGAAAAACATTACAGAAGATCGACGTTCATATTTAAGAATATGCCCTTTCATATTTTTTTAACTAACGCCTTTTTCTAACTAAAGATAATTTCCTTCCAATTGAAAATGTTTGGAGTATCCCACGCGCTCATATGACCTTATGCAGTTGCGAGCGCCGTAAAACATTTATCAAAACAAACTAAAAGATGAATGTGAGGTTAGTTGGAGCTTCACTGGTTTCTTCATTACTGTTGAACGCATGCTGCTCTGTTGTAAAGTATTCGTTGTCGCGCTCAATCTCCATTTAGTACAATATATACTTAACAAGCCTACATTTACTGAAAGCATACCCTATATCCTAGGATATTCTGACATCCCTAACCCGAGTGCTACTTGAATGATTTTACTTTTGTCCACATGATCATAACCTAAAGCAAAGTTTCATTAACCTTCTCCCTTCTATTGTTCATCCATATTTCAAATAATCATCCTCCTGCCTCAAGCCGACTGGTGTTAAGTTGGACTTTGGTGTGGATGGAATTCTTGTTTGTATTTCTTGAATTCATTCTTGAAAGTTGACGTTTAACGGATTTTTTGGACGAGATTTCTACCAAACGACCTATTCCTATCGGAAATAAAATTAAAGGTTCCGTCTTTTAAATAACTGTAACTGTTGCAAGAGAAACAAAATTAATATGCTTCTTACCAAAATATTTTATTTCCAAATTTCAAGTAAATTGTAGTACAATAAATATGAAGCCCTAATGAGCATCTCCTGCAAACTTTATGATGGCGTAGTTGGACATAGTGTTTGGTTTAGAATCGAATCTCCTTGGAGAATTTCTGAATTAATGTGGCTTTTCTTTTTCATACTCATAAAATCAAGTATAATAATCCACACGTATATATCTTGTTTGTGCAGTGCCATGTACCAACTCCGACAAAAAAACCAAGAAAAAGCTGACACGTGCGGAGAAACTCGAACGAAAGAAAGAGGAAGACACGAAGGCTCTCATCAGAGAGGTAAGTGAAGTTTGATATCTGCCGAAACTTGTGATTGGTCATGTTTTGATCATTAAACTTTCAGAAACGATTTAGTAATATAAAAAATGTCACGGATAGAGTTCCATAGAGGGCCTGCACTTACCGTGACAAGGTCCACTGAGCAAACTATACAAGCGTTAAGGTTAGGGTTAGGTGTTGTTGGTCGGACGACCATCTGCGGAACTCCTTCCAAGAAACAATTCAGTAATATTATATAAAAATGGCACCAAAAGGTCTAATGCAAGTTCAGCGTCCGCCCTTTTTTTACGCTTCTGGCAAGGCTCTCCTTTAATCGAGGTCCATGAGCCGGGAAGTATACTGATTTCCAGATTCTGTTCAAATGAAAAAGATTGTTTCCGGCCTTTCTGTTGTGAGATGAATTTTGGGTTTTCATTCTGAGGATTCCAAACTGTCTCACCCTTCCTTTTCATAATGTTTTTATTTGCTGTTTTGCCAGGAAACCAAGAGAGACAAATTCGGAATTACCCTATCGTATCTAGCATACTATAATACGGCTTATAATATAAACATACCTTTTAAATCTTATCTGCCCCTCGTTTGCATACTCGCCCATTATCCTCCTGAACATGTTCTTTTCCCTGGGTAGCATTGTCCTATTGTAGTAGATTGTTTACGCCTCCATTGAAGCAATTGAGATCATATAGGAGGCGAACGTCCGACCAAGCTCGTCAGGGCCAACCCGGGCTAAGAAAAAAAACCTAGATAATCGACAGAATTCTACCGCTCTTGGGAATCGAACACAGGAGACAAATTATAGTTACTTCAAATTTAAAGTACAAATCCGATATCGTTATCAGTTGCATAACGGTAAGGCTAAAGGTATGAGCAAAAAAAGTGAAAATTAATAAGCGGGGGTTGGGGGAGTGCGTGCATGTATGCGTGCGTGCGTGTTTGCGTGCGTGTGTGTGTTCACTGGTATTGGAATGTTTACAAACGAGTAAAGCCCTTCCACATCAAAGCTGATCTGACAAACATGTCAATGTTTTGTACTTGAACTAAGTACGGCGCCAGGTGTGATTTCGATTCTGGTCACAAGCACCATCGTTGAGAAATTCAGCGCAAAGCATTCGGATAATACGGCAGAGTAAGTAGTTCCTTTTTATTGTTAATACGGCAGAGTAAGTAGTTTCTTTTTTTTTTTAATAAAGAAAGGGCAGGGGATCTTTTTCTCAGACACAAGCAAACAATTAGAACATACACAAACGCTCTCAAACTCTTTTCTCTTTTCATTTTGACAAATACCGCGCCGTTAAATTGTATGAGCAACGCAATTTGAATCTAATAAAATGGACAAAATACCTTGCAAGTGAACCTCTACTATCAAGACGTTTGATTACTCGTATTTTGTTCGTGACAACCTTACAGAAGAAAGTATTTGACAACTGTCTCTGTGATTATTGCTGTGCCTGATTGTGCTACTCAGTCTGGCAGTCTGCATCTCAAGGATATCTTGCCAGACTCGAGACTGCCTCCGTTGGTCTTTTTCAGACGTATTCGGTGTGAAAGACCAGTGGTCTCAGTTTCGAGTCTGGTACATCAAATTGATACAAAAGTCCAAAATATTTGACATAAACCGAAAATATTGCGTGCTGCATTCTGGCCCCTGGGTTGACAGCATTGCCCTGAAGTATCCAAAGTATATATTTCCTTGACTTGCTGTAAACATTAGTTGATATTTGTACAGATTCAAGGTTATCTATTAACTGTGCAATTATCTGTGCAGGTGAATGAACGCTGTACACTTGGCCTTTGTCTTATCAAAAGTATCAATCACGTGTTTCACATAAGGAAAAAAACGTCACAGGTGGTTAGAGGGTGCGGTGCCACTCTTTAGTATAACTACTTTTCTTTATTTCTAGTGTTTTAAGCGAGCTTTTTCTCAACACTCATGCCCGTTACCCTGTTCTTTTGTTCTCAAAACACAGAATTGCGACCCAGCACGTTATCAATGAGTTCGAAAACAACAATACTGTGCCTCTTTGGTGTTCTTAGTTCTTCTTCGTTTCTTTGTGTATTCTGTTCTATTTTATACTCATTACCTACAGCATTAGATTCCTTGCTGAACTCGTATTTTTAAAAGTTGATAGCGTACAATCTTCTCCTTCTTTTAGGTGTTGGTGGGTGCTCTGGTGTGGTTTTCTCCTTCTCTCTTGTCAAACATATATCGTCCTTTTATACCATACTTGGAGTTGTTTTAGCATTGCACTTCCGGTAAAATATATCCCTATATTTCACGTTATAGGTTGGCTAAGCTGATATCTCACACGTGAAATATATAAAAATTAGTATAAATTACTCCACGCTCTAGATCTATATTCGCCTTCTACTTACTTATATACTAGTTAGTAGTTCTAGCCTATCTCTCTGTGTAGGCTAAGCAAAGTAGCCTAATAAAAACTTTAAAACTTCGCTGCAAAGCGCGCTCACAATGGGCAACCAACCAAACACTAGTCTCCCAGTCTCGCTATTATAGTCGAGTACAGGTGCAAACGTTCGCTGAAAGAGGCCACATGATCGCCATCTTTTTTTACCTAGAAAAAGCCTTCGACACAACCTGGAAGTACGGCATTCTTCAAGACCTGCACGCACTCGGCATACGCGGTCACCTCCCTGCCTTCATTGGCAACTTCTTGAAGAACCGTTCCTTCCAGGTTCGTGTCGGATCCTCCCTTTCAGACCCCCACCAACAGGAGGAAGGAGTCCCCCAGGGGAGCATCCTTTCTCCTCTCCTATTTGAAATTAAAATTAACTCCATAGTGAAATTTTTTTATATATGAAGTTGCGGAGATTCATAAAGTCTTTAACCCAATTGTGAATTGCTGCCTGCAAACCCCTTACGAAACCCCAAAAATAATCTCTACCACTGTACTAGCTACCTACTAAGGTCCTCTCTTCACTTGTCTTGGTCCGCTAGAATAGGCTAATACTAACAAGGTCACCATAGCAGAGACTGTGCCCACCATTTCGGAACTTCACGGTGACATTAAAGATGGTTCCAGTAGGGAACGGGATAGCGGGTGCCCACATCCCTCGTGACTCATCAGAGCAGAGGAAGATAGGACTAACGCTAACATTATTTTTTTTTTAAACAACAACAATCAAATAACAGAAGCATGTTTTCTTATAATTATAAACGTAAGCACCATCCCACATCATCACTTACCACCACCATCACCGTCATTTCTAAGGTCATCATTGCTCTCAGATCCTTCACAAACATCTATAATTATCTTAAACATCTATATGTAACAGTTATATGTCATAACAAATTTGTACGTTATACATTATTGGGCACTCTCATACGCACATTGTTCTACTAATCAGATGGCGTCAATATCATAGAAATGGGCAAGGGACCAAAAAAAAAAAAAAAAAAAAAATCCATAGTGAAAACCCTCCAGAACAGCATAGACAGCTCGTTATACGTTGACGACTTCTTGATATGCTGCCGATCGAAAAATCCTCATTTGAGATCTATGGAAAGGCAGCTGCAAACGCAGCTGCAAAAACTTGAAACGTGGGCAAACAACAACGGTTTCAAGTTCTCCCCGTCAAAGACGGTTGCAGTACACTTCTGCCGAACAGGCAGACGTCTCCCTTGTCCGGTCCAGGCTTGACTACGGCTGTCAAGTCTACGGATCGGCAAAACCACACGTCTTAAAAATACTAGATCCAATACAGAACCAAGGACTCCGCCTCGCTCTGGGGGCTTTCCGCACTTCTCCGGTGGAGAGCCTCCAGGCCGAGGCCAACATTCCACCACTCTCACTCAGACGCACACAACTCTCACTACAATACGCAGTTAAACAGAGCTCAACACCGGAAAATCCAGCGCACGACAGCATTTTTCAAACAAATCCAGAAACCATAAACAGATTCCAAAACAACGAAAAACTCATCAAACCTTTCGGCCTCAGAATCCTCGAGGACCTCAAAAACTTACACTTTTCCAAACAAGACATCCAACAAATTCTTTTCCCCGACCTCCCTCCGTGGCACCTCACCAAGGCAAAAGTAGATTTACAGCTGACCACACACAACAAAGAAAGCACAAACACCAAAACTTTTCAAGCAGAATACAAAAAACTAATAGATAAATACCCCGGTGCGGAGCTCATCTTCACGGATGGCTCCAAAAAAGACAATGAAGTGGGCGCCGCAGCCCTCTCTCCCAACAATACACACCAGAGGAGACTCCATCCTGAAGCCTCCATTTTCACTGCGGAGGCCACTGCCATTGACATGGCACTGGACTCTGTAGAAAATTCTCCTAACAAATCTTTCCTTATCCTTTCTGACTCTCTGTCTTGCATCACCTCACTCACAAACTACACACTCTTACACCCAAAAATAGTTAGGCTACAACAGAAAATCCATACACTATCCGAAACAGGAAAAAACATCATGTTCGCATGGATACCCAGCCATGTGGGCATCCGAGGAAACGAGCAGGTAGACGACCTGGCGAAGAAAGCTTCATCCCTTCTGCTGGGATCAACGACAAACACTCTCCCACAGACTGACTTTAGAAATAAAGTAAAAAAGTACACCCCCAGTCTGTGGGAGAGCCACTGGGAAAACCAGAAAAATAATAAATTATATGAAATTAAACCCAGACTAGAACAGCGAAATCCTTCGGATCTCTCCAGAAGAGACGAAGTCATTTTTACTCGATTGCGCATCGGACACACGGCCCTGACCCACAAATACCTCCTACAGGGAGAGGAGAAGCCGTTCTGTGTCGGATGCGACACAGATTTTACCATTAGACACATTTTAACAGAATGTCTAGACTTTGGAGAGATCCGAAGGAAATATTATAAATGCAAGAAATTGCAGGATATTTTCTCCGTCGTTGTTCCCAGCAGAATTTTAAATTTTATAAAAGCCATTGGCCTTTATGGCGAGTTGTAAAGTGAATCTGATATTATTAAAAACATTTATTGTTACTTAAAAGTTGTTTTAGATCACAAATGTATTTACACCGAATTTGAATATTTTAACTTTTTAGCATTTTAAAGTAAATTAGTTACCAGTCGTGAAGTGAACTTTTGCAGAGGTGAACAACTTGTGTTTCGCGCGCTCATATGACCTTAGCAGTTGCGAGCGCCGTAAAACCTTATACTACTACTACTACAGGTGCAAATCTTTCCACGTTGCCCTTAATTTTGTTTCAATAGAGTCAAATGATGGGCACGACAACGAACCGCGATTACGTCAAAGTATAGTGCTGTTACGTTCAGTTCATTTCTCGAATAAAATAATCATTTATTCTAATGGGTCATTATAACAATGCAACTTGTCAGGTGCAGCTAAACTGCCCTCTTTCAACTTAATTAGCACACTGATGTTTGGGAATAGCTTTTTTCGTCCAGACATTGTAGCAGCACACCAAATAAGCACAATGAGTGGACAGTGGACATTAGATCTGGGATCTAGATCAAAATAGATTTTATCAAAATAAAAGACCAACACTAGATATCTAACTACATATTTGGAATCAGCACATCAGTTTCCAAATAACTTGACACCTTTTGTTGCTAAAAGGCTTTTTTTCATTTTTGACCAATGTAATGCAATGCCCTTGAGATTAGAATCTAGAGATTAGATTCTAGATCTAGATTTAAATTATCAAGAGAATAACTCCTTGCCTTTGGTTTGTTTAGGCTACGAAGTTTAAAATCAAAATCAAAGTAAGCTTCAGCTTAACATTCTGACTTCAACAAATAAGTCTTTTGTGTTTGGAGCTCATCTACATATCTGTCACCTACTTTTTGTAGATTAAAGGTGTCTCTGCTCCTCACATAGTCTGCCTGTGAGGTCTCTCCGTTTGCCGCAAGATTTATTTTTATTACGGAAGGGCGGTAGGTGGATGCCACTCGTTGTTCCTACTTCTGTTCTTTCCTTCTGCTGCTACTTTCAATCTGTCTTCATTTTTCCTTAAACTAAAAGGCTGTGATTGTGACACTGTGCTTTACTTTACTCAAACGAAACAAAACGTGTTCCTAACACGAGTGAGTGCATCGGGCTGCAAATGACTCAGAAATTTACAGGTTTACCAATATATAAGAAACACGAAAAGTAGTAATTTCTATGAATAACTGTTGTAGAAGAGAAAGTATTTGATTACCTGTTTCTGTAAATATTTCTGTTACTGATTGTTCTACTTTGTCCTGGAGCCTGTCTCACAAGGATATCCTGCCTGACCCGAGGCTGCCCCCGTTGGTCTTTATCGTACGGATTCATGTGGTATGAAAGACTGATGAAGGGTAGTCTGGGGTCTGGTACATCAACTAGATAATAGGCGTTATGAAATCCTAGACGTCAAGGAGAAAGAGTTTTGATTTCCAGCATTTTGTATTATTGAGTTTTAGAATAATATTAATCTTAGTTTCAAAAGCACACACCTAGCTGTGCACTAACCAAATGTTGGTTGTTTTGTTGTTGTTTTGGGGTTGTTGTTGTTTTTTGGGGGATTTTTTTTGGGGGGGTGGTTTGGTGTAAGCTTCAGCTTAACAGTCTGAATTCAAC